AGGTACTGACTTGCTCTGCTTAAAGGTTCCATGCATCCAACAAGAAGAGTCTCTGCTTCAGTAGTCTTTTTATGCTTCCCTTCTAGGAACAGTTATTTTGATATTACTTCTAATGAAATGAAGAAATGTACAATTGTTTGAAGAAAAGCTAAGTGTGTGTTCCTAGTTACAGTTGTTCCTTGAAATGTGCAAGTAAGCTTTCAGCATCTACCTTTGACTCACATTTTAAAAAAAAACTTTGAGTGTTTGAAAGTAATGGAAGTGAAGGGGATGGCCCAGTTTATTTGCAGCCTTATCTCTAAGTGTAAGTTCTCCAAGCCAGTGCTGCTGGAAAAATATGATATGTATTGGCCATGTAATGAAGTAACAGATAAACAGTGTATTTTACTGGAAGTATTGCTCTAAAAGTAAGTAATGATATTCTATTTGGTGACACCGCTCAGCCCTTTTTGGTCACACTCCGCTGACCACCAGCTAGCTCGCTGAGCCGCGTCAAGGAGTGGCTGCTCTCCAGTACCACACGGGAACCGGAGTAGCAGTATAGCATACGCTATCCGAGCTTCAAGGTATCCGGACGAGATAAAAGGCAAGCGAGAGACCTTTGAAGGTTCCAGCGGGAAGGTTTATTTGGGATGGGGAACTGGGTCTGAGGTTCGGGAGAGGGAACCAACAAAGGCACTGTGACAGGCTAGACAGTATCTTTTATAGGGGGTGGCGACCGGAGGAGGGGACAAACCGCGAACCAATGGGAAGACATTCGGGGCAGGGCTAGCTCGGGACAGACAGATACAAACTTCCAATAGGGGAAATTGGGGGCGTAGACCAGGCATAAGCAGCCAACCAGGGGGAGAACCAGAGGGAACATTCTAGAACAAGGGTCGGGATAAGGGAGGATTGACATTTAACGGGGCAGGGCTTGAATTGAGGGACAAGGATGGTTCCAGACTAAAAGGAGGGGCTAGGGAAGATGGACAAGGGAAGACGCGGGAAGGGGAGAAACCATTTTACACGAACTCAAGGGGTACAGGATAAACCATTAACATTACAAACAAGATAAGACAATTCAAACCTCAAACTTACAACTAAACGGGAACACCACCACAACAATTTGGCTTTGTGTATTTTGGTCAAAAGACTTTTTTTCCCCCTAAACATGACTAGCTGTTTTAGTTGCAAGGGTTTTGTACTTAACCACATATAAATTATCAAGTGCTTATCAAGTTTTGAATATCCAAACAATTCAAAACTCTTGAGACTGTTACTAACCATAAAAAGAAGAGGAATTCCATTTTCAATTAAAAATTTTCACACTTGAGCAAAGTAAGATATGTATGAAAGACAGATGCTTCTATTCCTGCATTCTTAGAGCCTTTGAGGGGTTAGCTTTGGAAATTGAAAATGCCAACTTTGTAAATCTTTATCCTTTAAAATAAATTTGTTTTTCAGATAAGTAATTGCAAAAGTTGTTTCATATGAAGGTACTTGAGGCAGAAAATGCACATGTGCCTCTTTTTGCTGCTGTTACATGACCAGAAGACACCAGGTGCTACATTTTGCTAATGTGACTGCATGAGTGACATGGTTGCTGTATGCTCAGTGTGTTTCATTGGAGGTGCAGGCAGCCATGACACATTCTTACTGGACATGTGTATCTCTGACAGATGATTATTTAAATGATTTACACAGTGTGAGAACTCATATTTTTCATTACTCAGCAGTGTCTGAGGGAGGAAGGGAGACAGGGGCCACAGGTAGACTTCCAGAATAATCAACTGTTTTTCTGCTCTGTCCGAAAAACTTGTATGAAATTGGAAGTAGTTAGCAGACTGCTTGCTGAATAAATAATTCTGGTGGCAATATCAGCTGCTAGAAGCACCTCCTGATTACTTTGGCACATAGCGTTTAATGCAAAAGTAGGCATAAAAAGTTCAAAGGTACTCTATCTAAGAAGTAGGAAAACTTTAATAAAATACTGTGAGCTGCTTAAGGCAGAATTACAGGACTAAGAGGAAGAGTGTAATTTTGAGGGGGTTGTTGTTGTTGTTAAATTATGATTCTGCCTCCTTATATTTGCTTTTGTTATTAGAAAAAAACAACTACACACAGACCTTCAGAGACATTTCTTCTAATTTGTGTGTAGTCTGGTAGTACACAACCTCAAAAATCCCATGGCAATTCTGAGAGGTTTTTTTAACCACTTCTCCATTTCACACATATCCAGCATGTAGTACATGTTTCAAAGGGATACTTTACCTGTGCTTTTAAACCCAGTTCTTCAAAACCATTAGTACCTATACACTCTGTTCTTTACAGATGTGAACTACATACGGATTCATGTAATTTCATGTAGTAAACTCACGTCACCACTAGAAAATAGCTTTATTCTTAGAGCAGTAAGATTTTTTAAAACTGACATGTAATAAAAGTGAAATTAGTTTACTGTATCAGCAGTTTCTCTGCAATAAAAAGAAATTTTTGAGCAATATATATAAAAGCAGAGTTATATTAAAAAAATTTTGTAAGTCTGTAATTGCTGTGCTTCACAGAGGGAATAATGAAGTGTTGAAATGCAGACTTCCACAGATGATTATTCAGGAAAACATGTAGAAATTCTAAATACAGATCTAAATTAACAATACCTTGAATTGTTTGAGCAGCAGTTGTTTCCTTGTATCAGTTTTGTTAAAGATCAGTACTCAGACTTATCACAGAGAGAATGTGCAGTCTTCTATGTGCAGTTATTTCTTGCTTCATGCATTTCTATCATTTCTCTATGCTAGATAGAGAGTGACTTAAGTTTAAGAGATCATAGAAACATTCTGATTTCTGGAGAAGATGGTAGCTTGCAAGAAATTTAGGAATAACACATCGCACTTCAGTGCTTTTGTCCAATGTTTTGGATAGCTTTGGAGGCAGTTTTGATTTCAGGAACCAATAATGCACTTCAGGAGCCAATGACGCACACATACATGCTTACTAAAGGAAATCACAGAAATACTGTCTAAAAATGCATGGGAGCAGACAGAAAACAGACATGCTCTTGGTGGGTTGTCTGCATTGTTACAAATGAACTGTGTAAGTAATTGTCAGCTGCTTAAAACAGGGGCTCTGTGGCTGAATTGGAGTCAAGTAAACTCCTTAAAGAGTAGTAATTGGAAAAGGCAGACTAGGCTATGCGTGTTGAGTTTAACTACAATGTTGCCTACTTACTAATGCTACCTTACTGAAGAATGAAAGTGATGACTTTTAAGCAAAACTTCTGAACTTTGAATTTTCTGCTCAGCTTGTTCTTTTTGTCTGCTCTTTGGGAAGTTTCTGCTTTAGAGGATGTTTTCCAATGTGTACCTTTATAGAACATTGTTTAAAAATAGAGTTTTTGTCATTTCCCACATCTGCTTTGATGCTGTGTTTTTGAGCACTTTCGCTACTCTGTGAGTTCTCTCTGACCTTACAAGTGTTGGACTGAGGAGTTATTTACTACCCTTGTTCTATTCAGTCTTCTAATATAACTTTATTAGAATGCATAGGATATAATTGTAAGTTTTGTTTGTAGATGGAAGTGGAGAAAGAGGTGAGAAGGATGCCAGCAAAATCACAACGTATCCACCAGGGGCTGTTCGCTTTGACTGTGAACTGCGAGCTGTACAAGTCAGTTGTGGATTTCACCATTCAGGTAAAAACAAATAAATCAATGTTAATTATAATTGAGATTTTTTTTAAGGTTGTCATGTGTGTCTTCACTGCTTTGTGTTCCGTTTTTAATATGGATGTATGCAGGAGTGCTAGAAGTTGAAAACATGGCAGGGTCATCTTGTAGCTGCTACACAGTCATAGAAACGTAGAATATCTTCAGTTCAAAGGGATCCACAAGGCTCATCAGGTCTAAGTCCTGGCTCTGCACAGGACCATCTCGAAGAATCACACCATGTGCCTGAGAGCATTGTCTAAACACTTCCTGAACTCTGTCAGGCTTCTGTGACTGCTTCCCTGTGGAGCTTATTGTGGTCTCCAACTACCCTCTGAGTGAAGAACCTTTTCCTAAAATCCAGCCTAAACCTTCCCTGACATATTTTATGCCATTTTATTACAGGCTAAAGTAAGATCACCACCCAAATCCTCACATTACCTCCCTGATTCCAGCAATGAAGGGCAACTTAGTGTCCTTCAGCAGTGAAAAGGACTATAAGTATCATATGCTGAGTTACATCAGAGCTTGTAAGCAATTTTGGAGTCAGTTTAAAACATCTGCATGACAAAAGCAGAGCTCTACTCATGGACAGAGGTGCTAGTTGTTTTGGGTTGTGAAATCTGGTCTGGATCACTTGGGAATCATTAACTGCTATGCAGACAGGTAGCCAGCACTGGTGCAGTGCCATGTCATGTGTGTATGTCAGAAAAATATTTTGTTGTTTTTCAGTGGTTTTGATGGAGAATGGTGATGTTTACACATTTGGATATGGGCAACATGGTCAACTTGGACACGGTGATGTTAATTCCAGGTAAGTTGGTAATCAAAGGACATGATTGTGTATTACTGTACTGCTGCATAAGAAATGGCTACATTTCTGGTTCTCTAGCAAGTATGAAAATTCAAATATAGACTAAATAAAGTTGAAGAGCTCCTGTTCTGCACTTACTTCCTGTAACCCCCTGAATATTGATATAATAACAGTACTTTTGTACTGTATAAGTAATTTATTTAATACATGAAAGCTTCTGTGCATAGTTATTAGCATTGCTTTGATAATAGTTTTAAATACTTCTGTCTCTTTAATTCTCCCTACATATATGAGAATTACAGTGAAGTCTCATTAGGATTTCATTATTTCTGTAAAATACAACATGTACAATAATTCAAATAATATGATATTGTAAACCTAGATAAATCTGTTCCTGTTAAATCATTGATAAGAATTCACAGAATATTCACAGAATCATTGAGTATTGTGAGTTGGCAGGGAGTCACAAGGATCATCATGTCCAACTCTTTAAGTGAATGGCCTGTATGGGGATCCAACCCGCAACCTTGGTGTTACTAGCACTGTGCTCTGACCAACTGAGCTAATCTCAGTTCAGTTATGATACCATTTCTTGCTCATCAGTAGTCTCCCAAATGAAGTCCCTAAGCTTTGGTCTTAGCTGCATTTTGTAGTCACTTCTTTTGGGTGTTGGCAGAAGAGTGATATGTGCTCTCACTAGTCAGTGGAAATAGAAAAGCCAACAGAGCATGGAGAGGTATTTGACTAACCAGCCACTGCTTACATGCTTTAGGTGTGCTTAGTAGCTCTGTAAACTTGATCTCCATTGACTACAGTGAGAGCATAGATAATTAAATATAGATCTCTTTAATGTGAAGCTCAATCTCACCCTTAGGATCTCATGCCTAGAGTCTCATCTATTCATTAAAGTAAAAAAACATTGTCCTGCCATAAAAGGAAATGTGATTTAGGTCTTTAGACGTGTGTATGTGCCATGTAATGCACGATGGGGATTTCTATGGTAGGAATCTTTTAGACTTCATGTATGTAGAGTAATGCTCAGTATCCTTATGTAAAAGGCATACAGAGCAGAACATTCATGACCTGTCTTCAGTTCTCTCATGTCTCTTGTAGCAGTCAGGTGAAAATTACTGAACATCTATCCTCCTAATCTCTTTGGAGACTTCAAAACCCTTTCTTTTGTCAAGTTTCTGAAGAAATCTTCATCTTAAAACTTGCATTGGATTCACTAAGCCAAAGGGGGAGAGGAATAAAGTATACTGGAAATACTGTCTTTTATTGGCTGCTGTGCCTGGTAGTAGTCTCTGAACTGTTAGCCCTACTCAGTTTGCATTAGACTGGTGAATACAGTCTGGGTTTCTGTCTATGATAGAGTCATATCACAGACAAGTACTTCGTTTTTCCTTCCTGGAAATTCTTGGGTATTTGTTCCAAGGAACAATGGCTTAAACTAGCAATTGAAGTTGCTATTAGAATAAGGCCAGTTTCCTGTCTTAAAGACTGAAGCGGTACATGCAGCAGTGACATTTATACTGGTAACTTAGTTACCTGTTTTCAACTCGGATGAAATCATGTGGCTTTTCAGAAGGCTTCAGAGCTGTCTGCTGTATTTGTCAGTATTTCAGGTGGTAAATCCTACATCTGTTGCTTATTTAGATAGAAACTGGATGAAGACCAATCGTAGTTCCAAGTGAGATCCTAAAGGAGAGTATGAAAAATCTTGTGCTGAAAGACAGTGCTTGACCAGAAGTAGAAGCTGAGGAGAGGTGCAAGTGACTTGGCAAGACCTTTCTATCATTCTACATCAGACCCTAGAAAGTGTCTGAAAAAAGCCTTGAAGAAATTTGGAGTATGTCCTATGCATGAGAACTGGCTATAGTACTATATTGCTATTTAGCACCATCATTCAAATTATAATTTCTTCATTGATGTACTTCTTTTTCCAGCTTTAAGTAGAGATCTCTCCTCTGTCCTCACAGTAAGGGATTCAGAGAAGGAAACAGGGAATCCTTATGCAGAGTTCCACCTCAGTTGGGACGCAGTGGTGCTCAGATGGCCAGCTCCTGCCAGGTCAGTGGTATGTCAGTCATGCAGTGTGTCACATTGCTTGTATTGACCTCAGGAAGAGCATCATCTTCTGAATCCAGGAACTGATACTCTACTGTATTTCTGGGAGAGAGAGAGAGAAGGAAAAAAAGTAATATTTAGGCATCTTTTCAGAGACTTTTGTCTTGTAGTGTAAAGATTTAGTAGTGAGACTAAAGCAGTGAGACTTTTTGAAGTCTTGAAAATGCTCAAATATTTTGAATTCTGAACACCTGTTCAGACATGACTTTCTCCTTCATTAAGGGGATTCTGGACTCCTCTATTAGAATATTGTAAACATCACAAATTCTTCTTCTACTTCAGTAGGAATGAGGTAGATTACATGCCCTATCAGTAAGTTGGAACCATTAAATTAGCTTGTGTAGGCATTTTGTTGTAACATCCACAGTGGCAGATGTTGATGAGCTATTCAGTACATGAAAGGTTTGTCAGTTTGTGCTTATATTCTCAAATTAGATGCTGGTGAATAGAAACTCAGTGGAAGCAAGAAATGCTTTGCAGTATCTAGTCTTGGTGAAAAATAGCATGTATTGTGCTCAGGTAAGCAAAGGCCTATTTGTTGCTGATGCTTCTCTCAAGAAGCTGGAAATTAAAACTCCAGGATCTTTCTGTTACTGTTCAAAATTCGTCTCCATTTTTTAAAAAAAATCTCTTGTAGCACTCCAGTAGCAAGTACATGACCTGACAGTCAAGCTCCAGAAATGAAATGACTGAAGTGATATGGTCTTGATAGGATTTTGCTTCCAAATGTTCAGCAGTAACATAAACCAAAACTGATCAGACCTTCCACGGATGGTCAGCTATGTTGCACCCGAAGATAAAGAGTAGAGACTATAATCTATCAATAACTCCAGCGGGAAAAGGGTGTTCCATCATCTCTGTTTGTTAGGGCCATGTTTCTAGGTATATTTTCTGATTATTTTACTCCAGTGGTGGGGTGTAGGTCATATTTACATCTTTGCACCAAAATGGAGTCACTTCTAAAATATAAAAATCCTCTACAATGAAGTTGTCCAACCGTGCTTGCAATGGACAGAAGTTGCTACTGTTTTTCTCTTAACGCTACACAGTAACAGTTCCCAGTGAACCATATTTACAGCACCATGGTCAGCTGCCCCAGGTGACATGTTTTGGGACCTGGCAGGCAGCTGTTGGATGTGGTGGTACCATGGACAGCGATTGTTTGAACAGGTCATGCGTGATGAATTTTCAAAGACTACAACTGCTCTCAGAAATGCTTACCCTTTGGGATGGAAGAGGGTTTCCATGTGGACAGCCAGAATGCACCTGGACCTTCTTCAGGATCCTGAGTTTGCTGATGCATGTCCATCTGCTCAATTATTCAGCAATTGTTGCTTTCCCCCAAGGGATCTCTGGTTACTTTCTCTATAGCTGAAGCCGATCTTTTGTGATTGACCAAACATTCTGTGACTTTAACACCAGCATGTCTTTCCACACCATCCCAGAAGAATACTCCTTGTTTTCTTTGATTCAGATGGAGAAACTTTGGTTGTTAAAACTTTGCCCGGAGTCTCTCAGACTCTTCAGTGTCTATTCTGAGCTTTCCTATGTTTAATTTCAAGGGGATAAAAAAATTCTCAATAGTATCACAGGTTTTAAATTCCATGTGCACTAGTCAAACTGGCTTACTGTATTTTTTTAAATCCCTCTTCCTTATATGAAGTGAAAACTGTTTTTTTTTTTGCAATTCATGTTTATTTTATGATGTAGTTAAGTATCTTGAATTTTTTTTCTGTTCATTTCTAAATGAACTGATAGACTGTAGTTGGCCATTCCAAAAGCTGGGTGATCTTAATGAAAAAGCTATTAAACAGGGTAATGTATTTCATCTCTCTGCATTAGGGACTTACTTGATTTTGTTTTGCTGTTGCCAAGAGGCTATCAAACACAGCATTCATATAACATTGCTGATAGATTCAATTGGAAAAACAGAAAGATAAATAGTTATGGTGATAATAGCAGTTTTTAAGCATTAAAAAGATGGAATAGTCACTACTTTTTTTAATATAAACTTGTGATTGATATATTCATTCCATGCCTGCAGCTGTCATAATTTTGAGAGAGAGGAGGAAAAGCCTTTTGATAAAAATACGTCCTTTTAACAGAAGTGCTTTTGGATTAGTTACTAGTTACTAGTTATATTTTATTTATGTTTTGATGCTTTTTTGAGCTTCCTTAAAGTTAACGAGAGACAAATGTAAAATTTTGGGTTTTTTAAAAATTTCATCATTGGTGCTGCTAAATAAACTTTGCTCTGTGTCTGTGTATAATAGTAGTGATATCCAAATCAATGTGCCTATAGACCAAGAAAAGTGCCAAAATTTGAGTGTCATGTTGTACATCCTCTACTTAATTTTATTATGCCCTTCAGTCTCTCCATATCTACTAGTCATCCACTGAAAGCTACGTTTACCACCAAAGAATACTTCTTCTGTATACCTGTTTTCATCCTTCTTCACATTGCCAACCTGTCTTCATGCTGCATTCCTCTGTTCCACATTTTCATATGTTCACATCTTCCCATCTACCCTCTACCCTTTTTCTGCTGAACATGGTGCTTCACCTTCCTCATGCTTTCTTGACTTCTGTTTTACCTGCGATTTAGCCAAAATCAGAACTTTGAGGTGAACCATCTTCTAGCACATCAGCTGCTAAACAATCACTAGGTAACTATGAGCTGGCCTTTTTTTATTCCAGTGTAAAACAACCTGTTCTTATTTTAGGTTGCCCTACTTTTGAAAGGCTCTGTTTGAAAGTAAGTTCACATAGTGCTGTCATCCTCTGTATAACTCTGAGTCCAGCTTCCAAACATAAAAACTATGTGGGAATAACTTGTTCTTCAAATTCACAATCTTTTTAACTCCACAGGGAATATTAAGTCTAGGTAGACGTTCATTACAGGATTCAAAGTCTTGTAGGTTTCTGTTCTCTTTGTTGGGATTGAATTAAAAATTTTAGTGTCTCATACTTTTTATCTTTTGTACTCTTTCTATTCCAAATCATCAGTTCAAGTTTTCTTTCTTTGCATCTTGAACACCCTGTCATTTTTTCCCCTTCCTTTTTACTGAAATGGAAAGTTTATTTTCTTATATCTGTCCATATTTGGGAGACAAAAGGATTGGACCTTTTCATAACTCTTTGGAAAATAGTTTGGAGAGGTCTATTCTTTATAGAGTCTGAGGTTGATGGGAGAGGAGTAGACCTTTATTTCTTCTGTAATTCCCCAGACAGTGATCTTGAGTGCTGTAGCAACATTGCTTCTGGTAACTACTAGAGTATCAGCCGTATAATGCTTCAGTTGCTTCTGGGGGTTCAGTGCTTAAGTAGTAAACAAACATATTTTATGTAGAGACATCTTTATCTCAGAACATATTTTACTGCTACATTTCATTGCAATGTATTTTGTATTCATACAAAAATACACACGTTATTGTATCTACACAAC